CAGCAAACATAGTTGTTAGGGGGATATTTATGACAGCTGCATCCGAGTGACAGCACCAAAGCAATGACAATGGCAGTGGGCTTTCTATAAAACACGTCTGCGAGAAAGACAGGTAGATAGACTGACTATCAATCATCAGGCATGTGAATAATTCTATATGCACTGGCCCATGTGCCGTTAAAATCAGATCCATAGACACCTAGAAGCTTGCTGTACAGCAAAGAGCGACAGCTCTCAGGAATAATTATTTTTGATTATTTAAAGTATGTGTGTTCACACATCATTTTGAAGGGAATAAAAAGTCCAGCATCGATTAACAGTTCTCTATAAGCATATCCTAATATGCTTAGATTAGACTGTACCACAACATTTTCAAGTTCTATTTAGAGTTAATGTATGACTTGGCATCTTAGCCATGTTTCAGTTAATTGAATGAGATCTTAACAGCGCTCGCAGAGATGTGCATCTGGTAGTCTGAAAATTTCTCAAAAATGATTCAAGGCCTTGGCTCATCTTTCATTTTAAATCTATTTAGGACAAGATTGAAAGCACAAATACATTGTAGCCAAATAATACAAAGGGTCTCTTCTGTCTTTCCTTGGATTTGCTTAACTTCCATTTATGTTAATGGATGTTAAGCACCTGTTCTGCAAAGAAAATAGACCTCTATCTGTGAAAATAAGTGTGTACAGTGTATTTTCCCAATATAATGCTAAAATCAAAGAAGCAAAAATGTGTGCTATATAAACACAGCATCATGTGGCCAACTTGAAAACACGGATGTTTTATATTTTAACTCCTGATTCATAGGCTTGGAGATATTACTCATACCTTGGCCATTGAAATGAAACAAAAAGAAAAAAAAGTGGGTGGGGGAGGAGAAAGGATGGAAAAACTCCATCTGGTGACTACAGTGAGCTCATACACAACTCTCTGTTTACCCTGTCAGAAGTTTATGACAAATTGCATCAGGAAATCTGGATTCAAGCCTCCCTGCCATCATCTTGAAAGTCAGGAAGATAATTGCACATAATAGAGAAGGACATGATCAGGGAACACTGTACTGGGAATCCCTGTAGCAGCTGGAGCCTCAGCTGGGACAGGAGATGAGCCAGACAATTGTTAGTTGACTGGTAACACCAAAGTCTGTCTCTGAAGTGCCCTCTCATTCAGCGCCAGTGCTCACAGGAAGGAAAGTCCTCCAGGACTTGGATGGAAACATTGCCATCAGGGGTCACAGAGGTCTCTCTTTATCAGGGAGTTTGTGATAATAATGAGGACAGAAAAAGGCTGTTCCAGTCTCTCCTTCTGAAGTAGTGAGCATCACAGAGCTCTTTTCCAGAAGTTATACTTTAAAAAAAATTCTGATGTGAGCTGGATTGTGCTGGCTCATACCTAGAATTCTAGCTATTCAGAAGGCTGAGATTTGGGAATTGAGGCTCAAAACTAGCCCAAATGTATGAGATTCTTATCTCCAGTTTAGCAAAAATCTGGAAATGGAACTGTCCTTCAAGTGGTATGGAACCATCCTTAAGCAAAAAGACTAAAGGACCTGAACTCAAGCTGCAAAATTCTCTCTGTGTCTCTCTTTCTCTCTGTCTGTCTGTCTGTCTCTCTCTTTCTCTCACACGCACACACAATGTGATCAAAACAAGGTAGTGGCAAGGTAAATTAGAAATTCCAGTTTGGCTCCACCTATACCTTTATGTACCTGATGATGTTTATAATACAGAGTCATTCCTTTTTCTCATTTACAAACTATTGAAAACTCTTTAAATCAATTTAAGAACAGTGGGAAGATGAGCGGGAGTTGTTTTCTGTGAGATGGACTGTTCAAGATACTGAGGTCCCAAGGAAAACAGATCAAGAATGCATGTGCTAAAAATTACCCTTACTCTCTCATACACATTGCATTATAAGAGTCAGCAGTGTTTCATCTTCTTTCTAGAGGGTTGCACAGAACAAGCCTTTCCTTTCAAAGACAAGTAAGAACCCTGATGAGAAATTCAGTTTTAATGGGTATCAGAGGGCCAATTTTGTGTACTGATAATGTAGCACAGTCTACTGACAATTTGGTCCTCCATGCCATTTTTCTCTTCCTCTGTATTTTTTTTTCTTTTAAATTGGTTCCCTGCTCAGCTTCCTTCTCTCTTGTAGCCATGCACCAGCCTTAGATTGACCTCTGTTTCTCAATGGGCCAGTTTGGCACAGAGACACTATATGTGGCTTTTTGCATGTTAGATGATTTGGATGGTTAGGAAGAATCTGTTTAGAGGGTGCCCTTTTCTTCTGAGTACAGCTATGATGTGTTGGTTCTAAGCTGCTAAGTGATACAATGGTAATTACAGTAACGGTAGTGTTTGCCCACTAAAGGATCTACCAGCTCTCAGCGGTGAGCTGTGCTAAGCTCAGCTGCAGGAAGTCATCTTTCTTCTAGTACATGTTGTCTTGACAGCCTTGGTTCACAGAGATTTCTAATCAGGCACAAAGGTGAGCAAGGAGAAACAGAAATAACTGTTTTCTTAGCAGCAGCAGGGTGGGAGGAGGTGAGAGACCATAGTTGAGACTAAATGATTTTGTTAAGTATGGATCTTTCTGAGCTATATACATTGCTTTGTGTATGCTCAAACAATACAGAAAGAATTGTTCAAGTGTCTAAGCCTATCCCAATTCTTGGTCATTCAGAGAAGGACTAGAAGATTGTAATATTACCTACACTCAATAAAATAGTATATCCTTCCCCCCTGTCCTGGTAGTGAATTTGTAGGGATAAACAACCTTACAAATTGTTTGGTCTATTATATGTCACAGAGATTTTTCTATAGCCTGTCTAGACTCCAGACAATAGACGAGACTGGCCTATAGTTGCAGACATTTCTATAGTCTGTAATATCACTTAGAAAAGCAAGGGCAATAATACAAAAATGAAAACCAGCCTGGCCTGCCAGTACGATTGTAGAAATATGAGTATAACAACACTTTACAATTTAGAAATGATGATAGCACCCTAGAAAGAAGTTTTAGCAGCCACATACCAGCCAAGGCTACTTTTGTAAAGTCATATATACTCTCTAGATACTAGTCATAGTCAAGTAATTCTACCCATAAGCTACAAAACCACTTTATTACAGAAAATTCTGTACATATTTTATGCTGTGTTTTCTTATTGGATAGAGAGGGTGTATTTTTTTAAAATAAAGATTGTTAAACTGTTCTACTTTTTAGCACTCTTAAGAGACAGAGATAGAACAACTAAAATTTTATAAAAGCTTAATAGTGTTTAGAGACATTTATATACATGTTTAATTATATAGATATATATACATACATACACACATTTATAAGAAACGTGAAGAAAAGTTTTTAAATTTCCTGTTTTCCACTATTTCATATCTGATCATGTCCTCACATTTATTTTTCTCCCACAATTATATTTGTTATAAATAAAGGAAATGAACTTATTACCTGATGTATATAAAGGTAATCTCACGGTATATCACCTCTAACACAACAATAAAGTAAATTGGAAAAAAATAAAAGAAAGAAAGGGAGAAACAGGAAAGGAACAGAGATATACTTTCTTCTTTGCTCTCTGTTTTACCTTGTAGGAAACGATTCAATAAAGTGTATTTGTTGTGATGTTGTATAACTTTTTTATGTTGATGAAGTCCACAAAAAAAAGTCCCATTAAATCCATACTGCTGTAAAAATATTGGCAGTATTTCTGACTAAAAGGAAGTTCTTTTTCCCAGACTCCAAATTATGTCAGTGGTCATCCGACCATTTGTTATTTCACCATTGGCAGTCACTATTAATACTCCTTGTCATTGCTGCATGACTTTGCTTGTGGCCTAAGACTAGCCAAATATGAAGTATCTAACAAAGTGCTCTTAAACATAGAGGTTCTTCTGCTTGTCTTTCATAAAGATGTGCTTCTCTGAATGGAAGCCCTCCATCTCTAATGTCAGTTTCTGTGTCTAGCTAAATTTTGAAAAACACCCTGCAGTTTATTTCAATGTAATAAACTGTACCAGATAGTACTATATAGTATCTAATCAAAAGTTCCATTGTAGATCAAACTGTCTGGGATGGTCAAATTTATAGGATACCGTTTGTTGGAACTGTAAAGAAGTCTTTCTAGTGTGATCTGCTAGGCTTGTGCAGAAGGTATTCACAGGCTCAGGGCACTGGAGGACAACTGTGCTACATTTTCACTCTAGAATGCAAATGTTAGAGTCCAAATATGACCAAATAACTTCATACAACACTTTCATTTTGTTCTTCTTGAAAGTTCAATATTTGCTTTGTAGAGACAAAAAAAAAATCCTTTAACTCCACCAAAAAAGGCTTTGTCAATGTTTCCTTATAGAACAAACGTAAACAGAGAAGCTTAAGAACTATTGACTTGTAATGTAATGTTAAATAAATACAGAATACACATTCAAGAGTTCCCGGAGAGAAAAAAATGTATTTTCCCTGTTGACACATGCATGATATTCACATAACACATACCAGCAGTATACATCTCATATTTGAACTTTGAATGCCACAAAATGGTATGAAATTCTGATTAATCACTGCTTTCTTGACTGGCTACACGAAAAAGTATACATTTTAATTAAGCATATCAACTAAAACTTGACTTCTCAAAGTCAACAACTTCCAAGTTCAATGTAAGCATGATGAATTTGGCAAGCTTTTCATTCTCTTACAAGGGGTGGAGGACTCCTACCAGCTCTCTATCACAGGAAGCTGGGAATTCAACTCTAAATCAGTGTGCATCATTAAAATGTCCTGTGCATAGAGACACAGACCAAATTAGGCCCTAAGGAGGTCTCACCAAGCGCCCTCTGAACTCAGTGGAAACTTGCAAACACACATGAGAGGATTCTGGTGGCCCTAAAGCTTTCATCAACAATTTTACTAGGTCTTTAAAGTAGATACACAAGAAATCCCTCTCCCAGCGAAAAAGCAAACACCAAACCCCAACAAACACGTACCTCTCCCACGTCATAGATCCAAATTCGGCCTTCTGAGTCTCCCACAGCAACCTCTTTGCCAGCTTGAGCCCAGCGTACACGGTTTAGGGCCGATGCCCCCTCAACGGCCACACTCGCTGTTGGAACCTGCCAAAGAGGAAAGAGGTGGTCACACACACACACACACACACACACACACACACACACACACACACACACACACACACAATTTAAGTATATGAATCTACAGTGATACATTTAACTGGATGAGTCACCACTGCCTTTATGTGCCCAAAGCAGAAGTAGTATACACTCCTTAAACTGGGGTAGAAAGGACTCATTGTTTCTAAATCATAAGCTTCACTGAATTAAGAGGGGAGAGAGGGGAGACATTTTAACAACAACAACAAAAAAAAAGAAGAAGAAGGATCTGAAGTGATATATGTAGTGATAGAAATATTTCTGTGGGTTATTCAGGGTGCGCATCCAACATATAAGAGTAGTAGCTAAACATGATGCTTCAGTATGCAGCCAGGAGTTAAGAGACAAATGAGGAGAGACATTCAGGACTTACCCACATTAAAGGTCTATGAAAGACTCAAGGGTATATGACAGAATAAAAGTCATATTAATGTGAGTCTTCATGGAAAAGTAAACATATATAGATCCTCAAAAACTTCTCAGAGAGACAATAAGAAGAAAAGGAAGAGTGCAGTCTCCTCTCTTCTCCTCTCCCACCCACCCCCCAGTACCTCTATGGAATGATATCCTCTTAAGATCTAGCTATCTCCTCATGGAAAACAACATAGGTTTCTTTTAAGATAATTATGAAAAAAATCTTTAAAGTGAACTGGAGGTACAGAAATGGAACTTCCAATGTGTGTGTGTATGTGTTTAACAACAGACTTAAGGTTTGGAAAAAGGGACTTTCAATGAGTCTACTCCTCCTCTCCCTTCACTTATAGAAACTCTTGTCTTCAAAGTTAGAAGTTTGTAACTGACATAAAGGTCAAATCTCCTAAGCCTTCTTCAATATCATTGACTGGGATATGACACATACTGTTAAGAAAAAGAAAGTGGTAAATGTTAAAAAAAAAAATTAAAAAGAATAGTGCAAAGACGGTGACAGAGAGCATCTCCTGCCGCGGTGTGAGACCTCTTCCTAACAAACAAGTCTCGCCGAGATGGAAACATGTTGCCGCACTGTGACTGGGCACCTCCAGCATTCTCTTAGTCACAGAATTGAAACCATCTGTTTATATGAAATTATCGCCCCATACCTATCTTTTAAATAGCAATAAAACTGCCATCATATGGAAGAATCTATGTTTCAAATTAATCTTGAAATCGATAAAAATGCTATTTGCCTGCTTAAATCACCACATGTCAATTGTGAGCAAAAAAGCAAAATAAAATTCCCTGGCTTATTTACTTAAAGATACAATTTCTTCAATAAAGTGACCTGCTGTTCAGATGAGAGCCTGGGTTTTTAAGCAAACCTTGCAAAGGCTAAAAACAATCTGAAATTAGATGCAGCACAATTCTGTCAGTATTCTTTATTATTAGTGTGCTGTCCAGAAAACATGATTCAGCTAGAGAAGCTTCAGAGTTCATTTTTAATACGATAATTTAAAAGGCTAATTCTGTGCAGTATTAGATTTTATCTTGAATAATCTTAAAAATTGATTAAAATGTTTAACATGAGCATTGCAAAAAATTAATCACTCAAGGTTTGACCTTGTGGTACAGTAGAAATAATTGTCTAATAAATTTTTAAGGATTTTATTTGGAATCTGAGTAACAGAGCAAACTGAGATAGATTTCATCATCTAAATTACTTTTTTCATATTTGCTATTACAAATAGCAAAAAGTAGCTACCATGCCTACAGTATATGCTAAAAACCTAATGAATGCATAAAGGAAGTTAATATATTTATATTTAGTTTGAGTGGTAAGGACCTTCAAAAATAGATGAAAACACAACAAAAATAATCTATACATTTTATGTCTCTTATTTGATTTCACAAATGTTTTCACATTTATTATGGCTCAGTTATTTTAACAGCAAATACAAGATAAATATATCATAGTATTCAACAGTAGAAATCAGTAATAGGGGAGAAAGTAAATATAAACTATCCTTGCATGGGAACAGCTTGGATAACTTGGTTTAAAAGTCTAATGATTTAATCAACAATAACAGCAATAAGACATATTGCTATTGTAAGAATTCTTCTTTCTCTTCTTCCCTTCCTTCCTTCCTTCCTTCCTTCCTTCCTTCCTTCCTTCCTTCCTTCCTTCCTTCCTTCCTTCCTTCCTTCCTTCTTTCCTTCCTTCCTTTTTTCTTCCCAAGTCTATTTTCTAAATAGACTTACATTTGAAAAATCTTGTTCAACTTGCAAGGAGGTAAAAATGATTTGAGGATTCTCATAAGAATGTTGAGTTCCTCGCTGCATTTGAGTCAGACTCAATCAATATATCTCTACTTTTACTGCAAATGCAGAATTATGCTTGCCAAAAACTAAGCCATTTGCATGACTTGTCATGATTTTTTCCCAACTGTTTAGCTATAAAATTCTATGTGCTTGTCTCTTGATACCTATAGAGAAACAAGGAGAAAAATGCCCTTTTCCCTAAATGTTTTTTAAAATTATTTTTTGAGCAGTTGCTAGAATTATTCTGGAGTTTGTAGAACCTTCCATCTCTCCACAGCATTGTGGCTGAGAATCACCTCAGCTCAGCTGATTTCTGATACAGAAGTCTTTCAAGTCAATCTGGAAAGCATTTTTTTGGGGGGGGGGAGGGGAGGCGTTCCTTTAAGTGAATTTCTTCTAGCAAATAGAAGCAATATGATTTTAATCAATGGTGATGAAAAGACTCTGGGAAACCATTACAATGTAAGGTAATAACATCTTTCTATTAAAAGCAATAATGTAATAAAGATTTCAGCATCCCAAATGATGGACAGTTGTCATACCCACCCCTTTTGATTGTTTACAGAGATGCTTCATAACAGAATGTTTCCTTGTCACAGTTCTGGGAAGTCAAGGGAAAAAAATAGCCTTCAATGGAAACACATTTTCGAAGTGGTTGTTTGGCAGTGGTTATAGGTGGACGTACCCTTGAAGATACAGTGACTCGATAATACCACCTGAAGGAAAACCCCAGAGAAATACCAGGGAGTTTGCTCCTTCTTCATCTCTTCCAGCTGTAGGCTTCCTAATTAAAAAGGCTGAGCTGTTTCCTGCTCAAAACACTTCAAAAGACCTTCCTCTTGGTCCCTACTCCACATACAGTTTGCAACGCTGGGTCCTCTTACCTGCACATTCCTATTTATGGAAACCTTTCCTGAATCAGAAATCCCTTAATGTTGTAGGGGACCAATTCAGTTTATAAAACTGAAGGACATTCGATATGCATATAAAAGTCCCCACACGCAAAAACCTTAGTAACTAAATTAGCACCTCAATAATTTTGAGTCATTGAAAAAAAGGAACACTACACAGGGCACGAACATTTAATATATATGGCATGCCTTAAAGCAATATCTTTTTATTATCTACTGCTTAAAAAACAACAACAGGTATTTTCACTTGTGAAGGGCTGTAACTGTGACACATTAAAATCTCACTTTGTGAAAATAGAAACTATTGAGTCTGATCATGGTGTTCCAAGTCAGGCACTCTTGTAAAAGCCTGCCTTTGAGTTCCATGTCTTAGCAGAGCAATCTATACCTTGGTTTAAAAAAAAAATCTTTTGTGGATTCAAAAGTGAAATGGTACCCACAGCACACACAGCCCCATAGAAAAAGCCGTGTCCCCCAAAGCTGACTTTGCCAAATGTTTGCCAGCCTGGTTATTTCAAGACCACTCTGAAAAATAAATGCCTGAGTCCTTCTGGGAAGGGAAAGACAGGAACACATCATTCTGGTTTTTGCTTTTTGTATTTTGTATTTTTTAAATTTGTTTTTGGTGTGTGTGTGTGTGTGTGTGTGTGTGTGTGTGTGTGTGTGTGTGTGTGTGTGGGTGTGTGTGTGGGTGTTTGTGCGCGCGCATTAGTAATTGTCCAGGACCTGCTACAGTTTAGGGATTAAGTGAAATTAAGTGATTTGGAGCCAGCGCAGCTGCCAGTTCCCCTCTTGGTCGACAAGAATGGGGTTCTGCAAACCCGATGCAAAGCGAGGTTCTGTCCAAAAAAAAAAGTCCCTTTCTTAGGAAAGAGGTCCCCCCTCCCCCCCCTCCCCCGCGCCTGCTGCTGCTGCTGCGCTCACCTCCGTGTCATTGTTGAGGTTCCAGAGGTCCAAGCGCCCCATCCCGTCCACGCAGGCAAAGAGCGCGGGATGCACGGGGGACCACATGACATCGTACACATAGTCGGCATTGTCTTCAAAGGAGTAGAGCGGCTTGTTGTGCTGTAAAGCAGAGAGACCGTGAAGACTTTGTGGCGCTGCTGCAGCCTCGGGCTGTCTAGAGAGCCTAATTAAAAACTTTGCACATTCACCAAGTGTCATAAAACTTCCCGAGATGAAAGTCCTCGAGAAGGTGAACCGGAGCTTTAATGTGACTACAACTGTCCAGTTGGCATAAATAAATACCTGGAGGTGGGGGGTGGAGGCACGATGAGGGGACTGGGGGGCTGGGACAGGCAGAGGGAGGCGGATTCAGACATGGTTTTAAGAGATTGCAGACAGGTGGACGGGACAGCCCTGAGCTCGGAATTCTCCTCGGCCAAGCTTTGAGGGTCTCAGAACCTGGACCCCAATAGTGGTCTGCAGGGGCTCAGACCCTCCAGGAGACTGAAACCCAGGAGGTCTCTGCATTGAAGGCAACGCCTGCCACCTTATGGTCATCTCTTGTCACTGCAACAGCTGCTGCTGCTCGTGGTCCAACTTTAGGCCAAATTCATGTTGTTTTGTTTTGTTTTGTTTTTTAGCGGAAGAGAATAGGGGCAAACATTTTAAAAAGGAGTTATAGTTCTCCCAGGAGGTGAAAAAATCGCAGTTCTAAGACCTCAGTCTTTCTGTACAGGGTTCGTTCACCCCAGCCAGCTGCACTGGTGTGGCTCCCAGTCAGATGCCTATACTTGCAACAAAGATGAGCATAATTTTCTAGATCACTCAGTATTTCCAAGGACCTTACAATTCAGAGGGAAAATGTATTAATACTCCCATTGCATACAAATTCTTCCACTCCAGTGGGATACAATAAATTAAAATGGCACTCTTGATTTCCAGTGAATATTGTCACATCAAAATAGCACAGAAGTCACAGGCAAGTTTGAAAGTACACCAGAAATAAAACGTAATTGGACTTTATGAATTATTCATTCCATCTGGGTTGTCTTATTCTAATTTCTGCATAATGGCTTTACTAATCCCTGATCAATTAATGTAAAATGAAATTTAAATGATAATGAAAGCCCCAGAGATAAAAGAAATTAAGTATTCTTATATCCTCTGACAGAAATCTAAACAATGGGAGGTTTTCCCCCCAATGTCTTCTTCATCCAGTCAGCTGTCTGTACTTTCTTCATGGGTTCTCCCAAATGCCTGTACAGACCAGAGCAGTAAGATCAAGAAAAGATAATATGCAATGTAACAATCAAATCCATGGATGCATTGGATGTTCAAAGAAAGGACTGTTCGCAGCTCTCAATATCAATAACCTTTCCAAATGTTGTCTTTGTGAATGTCAAATGCCAAAGCATGCGTGTAAAACTCAATGTGAGGAAACAATATAAGTTCTGTAACTTAAACATAATTAAAATTTTTGTGAAGGTAATAACTATATGTGATTTCTTTTTTCTACTACTTATATTGTCTCGACATTGAAAAATCACAGCTTTTAAGCAAAGAAAATTTTAATATATCGAAGCTCACAGAAGTTTTTAGATGGCCACTGTGTGTTTAATGCTAAAGACACATTTTATTTTTAATTATAAAAATATCTGTTGCAAAATGCTGAAACAAGGACACAGGACGACCCATTGCAACAATGATGCCCACAGGACAGTATATTGGAAACGAACTTTACAACTTGGGCGGGGTGGGGGGGGTTGGGTGGGAAGGAGTGTGGGAGAACAACAACAAGGAAAGGGTAACAATGATGGACAAGTACCGTACTCATTGCCTTACTCATGTAACTGTAACCCCTCTGTACAGCATCTTTACAATAAAATAAAAATTAAAAAATTAAAAATATCTGTTGGAAGGTATATATAAAAAGAACATATCACATGGAGGTATCAAGAAGAAAACACTAGATATTAGGATTAAAACTTTGTATTTTATTCATTTGTAATTCTTTTATGCCCAAATAATGTTTTCTATACTATACTGCATGGTGATTTAAAGTCCACATTACTTGCTTCATTTCACTAGACTTTTTTCTAGAAAATCTGAATATTAAGTGATTGCAGAAAATAAAATGATCATACTATTTTTTCCTTGCTTACAACAATAACAAAAAAAAAGAAAAGCAGTGTGGAGTAGCTGATCCTTCATTGATCACTTGTGAATATTAAATTGTTACTCTTTGTATGAGATTATTACCACCAGAGATTCTTGATTTTATAATCAAAGACTTATACATGTTTAACAAAGTCAATTCTTAGTATCTTCCATTAATCTATGTGATCTGGGGATCAGAGGTTTAGATACGGATACATATAATACAATACACACAATAATACAATACAATAAACACATGACAAAATTGGATGCATACATACACATGCAATAAACGCATATCTACCAAGCTTGTTTCAATCAATTAAAAAACTATCTAGCTTGAAATAATCATTTTTCAAGGAATTGATATTATTTGGTAAGTTAATTCCTTTAATATATTATCATGTTAATCTCTAGTGTAATTCCTTCCTTCCTTCTTTCCTTTCTTCCCTTCTTTCTCCTCTGAGAAATTTCGTCAAAACCATAGTATATCCTGAAGACCTTACTTTTCAAACATCTGGAAATAACTACCATTGTCACTAGAAGCTTTCTCTAGTTCCTATCCAACTGACTGACCGCTATTGTTCTATTGCTTGCCTCCAACTTCCTTTTCACCCTTCACCCTCAGAACTGAATCTTCTGCTTATAAAAGTCACAGTGTAAGAAACACACACAGTGTGAAGGGAGGAGGGATTTTATTTCAAAAATTCTATTTAACCTTGATAAACTTACAGGGTGGAAAAGTTTTGAAAGAGACCAATTGAAATCAATCTTATATCGTATAAACCATTAGCTGTGACTACAGGTCACATCTACAAACTCATAGTTAGCAGGTCATCACAGGCATAGACTATAGGCAAAGGCAAATTCTATTTTTGAAGTAGCACTATTTTGAATCTTAATTTTACTTTGGATTCTACCCATCTATTGGATTCTGCCAATCTATTTTATTTGGACTCTAAGGAGAATCTAAAAACTTGATCAAAAGTCTGCTTCAAATACTTAATGTAAAAATATTATAGGACTCACATATATCATGAAAAACTAACATGCTTCCTTTTCCTTTAAAGCAACATCAGTAAGTCCTGAAGATTCTGGTTTTGAATTTGCAAAATGTAAGTTTTAGGACCTCTGACTTGTTATAGCTTAATCATATATAACCACTGATTTTTAGAACAGTATAAGCTTTTTTTTAAAAAAAAAAAACAGGGTGTGGAGACAAATGATTTGGGCAGGGAATTGGATGATACCATTTGTATATATTAAAACCACAGAAGCTTCCAGATGTTAAATATTTACCCTGAAAACTACTCAAGACCATTTATTTAACTAAATATTGTTCTCCTGCATGTCACTGTACAAAGTGTCCTGTAAAGCAATTGATTTTCACTAAATGAAAGCCCTTCCTCCTCAGTGCCTTACTTATTCCAGGGAAGTGTTTAAAATCAGTAAAGCACTGGAGAGAAAAGGCAAAAAAGAAAAAAGAAAAGAAAAGAAAGGGAAAAGTTCACCATTCACAAGCTGCTGCCTGTGTGGCACAGACCAGGGAAAGGAAGGTGCTACACCCTGTGTTTTAGTCGAGACTCCAGAGCTGTGCCAACAATGCTAAAGCATCTAGAAGCAGCTCAGCTTGATCTTAATGCTTGACTTTCAGACAAAGCAGAGAAGCGGGCTACCAGCCACTTCCCAGACAGATGCGAAGGACAGGGAAGGGGTTTATTGTGTGCCTATCTCTATACACACATTGTCTAATTTAATCCGCAGAAAATCTCTGTAAGGTAGATGATATTTACAGAAAAGAAAATTATAGTTCAGGAAAGTGAGTAACTTTCCCAAGGCCATGAGGGTTGTGAGGAGGTGGAGTTGGGTTTGGTTTTCAGGTTTTCTAGTTGTTAAGCACATCCTCTAAGCCCAGAAATGACAGGCTATGGGGTCTTTAGGCTGCCCAGAGAAAGTGATAGATTTTTACTTTCTTATCCATTTCAAGAAATAGATATTAAGCATAGACTAAGCAACTTGCAACACCAATTAAAAAAATATTGCAGTCAAGCTGGGAGCCAGTGGTTCATACCTATAATCCTAGCTCCTCAGGAGGCTGAGATCTGAGGATCACGGTTCACAACCTGCCCAGGCAAAGAAAGTCCATGAGTCTCTTATGGCCAATAAAAACTGCTCAGAAAAATCCAGAGGTGGTGCTATGGCTTAAGTGGTAGGGAGTTAGCCTTGAACACAAAGAGACTCAGCGATAATGCGTAGACCCTGACTTCAAGCCCCAAGACTGGCAAAGAAACAAAACAAACAAACAAAAAAATATTTCATCAGGACATTTATTTCCTTTCTTGAGCCTCTGTTAGTGATCCTGAGAATGTACACATGTGTTTTGTTTTGTTTTTTTGTTGCTTTGGGCCTGGGCACTGTCCCTGAGCTGTTGTTTAGTCAATCCTAGCCCTCTACCACTTTAAGCCACATCTCTACTTCCAGTGTTTTGGTGGTTAATTGGAGAGAAGAGTTCTCACAGACCTTCGTGCAGGGGCTGGCTTTGAACTGCCGTCCTCAGACCTCAGCCTCCTGAGTTGCTTAGGATTACAGGCTGTCAGAATCCTTCTGCAACAACAGCATCTTTTTTTTCTCCTAAAAGCTGGAAATGGGATGGGATTGGTCCATTAGCCAGAAGGCCAGGCCTTGGAGCACAGAATCAAAAGAAATAAAAGGCAAAGATCTGGCTCCAGTTTACTGACAGGGAGGACAAAGGGAGCAACAGAAGAAAGTTGAAAAGCTACAGTGCTGGTAAAATCCCACCTAACATCTTCGGGTCTTAGTCTGGATAACCATTAGATAGATGGACAGCTGCAGCCCCAAGTTGCAGGGCTCTATATTAGTTTTATGATTCTATAAACATTCCTTGATGAGCTCTGTTACTCTGCAGTATGAATAAAATGGAAGAAAGCATGGGAAGGCTTAAA